AGAGTAGTGCTAAGAGGCACAGGAGGTGTGTGGTTTGGGGTGGCCCACAACGGTTTCAGGGTGCAGAGCTCCATTCCTTTAGTAGAGCCGGGCACACTTGACAACGTCCTGCATGTAGAAATAGGGTTGGTTGCAGAAGAACCTACAGGATCTCTTGGATCCTGTGTGTCTGGGTGTTTGGTTTGGGGGTCACCCCATGTTTTTTGTGGGGATGCAGGGTGATTTTGACTGTTACCCATGCCCATCACATATTGATGTGTGATCCCCAAATTTGACTGTTATTGGGGGTGGGATCCAGAATGATCCAGTGAAGACAGATACTCTCACCTGGTCCATGCAGAGGACGTGGGCAAATACCCAGATGGTGGCACCTCTTGGCTGGCATTGAAGAGGCAGGTGGGAGCTGCTCACTAGTGAGGCTCTTTTGGTTCCTCAGGTGTAAACTGGGCTGCCTCCACCCTGGAGCTGAGCAGAATCGTGCCTTGGAGCTGTAAGCAGATCTCTGTATCCATGGCGGCCTGCTCAGGAGCTGAGAGCGCCTTGACACACATCACTTTCCCCTCCATATTAAATATTCACAATCTTTTCTCAGCAGTCTTGGGGGGGGGGCAGCTGGGTATGGGGGGGCTCCGAAACAGATAATAGCTGGGTAGAACATCTCTGCTCCCTGGCAAGTGTCACAAAGCTCCTGAAGGAGAAGGTGCACTTTCAGTCCTCAACCCAGGATTCTCTTGGGTGCAGGAGGCAGGGGGAGGGAGTTCAACCAGGACCCCAAGTCCATGGAACATGTTGTGCGTGCAAGCACAAAGTGGTCTAGGAAGCCAAGGCAAGGTCGTGGGGAAGGGCCAGGGACAAGATTTGCATAGAATTACAGTTCGTAAAATAGCAGGCGGCTTGAAGAGATCTCCTTCAAGAGGTGAATCTTCCTGGTTCACCCAAGCAGAAATCTGTCCACCCCATAAGCTTCCAAGGAGCTTCCATTTGTTTGTTGATTGGGATGTAAACACAACTTCATTAACAAGTCTGATTGCTCAAGGACAGAGCTTTGTGGGAACTGGGTGCCTGGAGGGAAAATGATGGAATAGCAGGAAGTACAGGTGTGTATATTTGACCTCAGGAAAGAAGAATGATGCACCCCAACCTGTCTGAGCTTGAGACCTTGAGCCCCAAGTTGAGGTGTACCTTCTTAGAAATACAATTCCTGCTGCCTTCGTAAACACCCTGCCTCCATTCTAACCCCATCGACACTGCATTTTAAGATGGATGCTGACAAACTGGAGCAAGCAGAGGAGGGCAACCAGGATGATCAGGGAGCAAACTGAGACCTAGGAGGAAAGACTGAAAGAACTGGGCATGTTTAGCCTTGAGAAAGTAAGGGAGAGATAGGATAGCACTTTTCAAATGCTTGCTGGTCTGCAACCATAATAAAGAATGATGATGACAACGGCTTTTCAAATACAGTACTAGAAAGGTAGTCCTACAGAGGAAGAGCAGGATCTGGTCTCGGTCATCCCAGAGTACAGGACACATAATAATAGGCTCAAGCTATAGGAAGCCAGATTTCAGCTGAATATCAGGAAAAACTTAACTGTTAGAGCAGTACGTTAATGGGGGGGGGTCATCAGGAGGTGGTGAGTGCTCCAACACTGGAGGCCATAAAAAGAAAATTGAACAACCATTTGTCAGATCTGGTTTGATTTGGATTTCTGCCTTGACCAAGGGGTCGGACTCAATGGCCTTAAAGGCCCTTCCAATTCCATTATTCTGTGATTCTATGGGTTCTACCAGTCCTGTGGGCTCCCTCCTTCCTCCCTCTCTCCCTCCCCAGGGAGTTAAATTGTGAGAGTCCCATGGTGCAATGATGGTGGGGAATGGAGATACTCCACCCTGGTTTTGCCTCTTTCCCCTGATCCCTTCTGTCTCCTAATATGAGGCGTAGTCCTTGATCAGGTGAATTTCCTGCAAAGATTTAGAGGAGTCCACTGAGAGAGGTATATATCCCTCCCCCCGGTGTGTGTGTGTGCTCACATGTCTTGTTCTAGACTAGCTGCTCATGTCAAGAGGCTCTCAGAAGTACCATTTACCTCAGCTTCAAATGACGTAGAAACACACAGTGATCTTGGTCTGCTTCGAGCGTTGATAGCGGATGCTCTGTGTGTCTATATTTAAACCAAGCTGATAAATTTTGCATTGAACACAGTTTAGAGGGAATGAACAATTAAACTCCTGAAAGACTGAGCGTCTGGTGGGAAGCCTGAGAGGGGCTTTAGAGTAAAAGAGATCAGCGACCCGCTTGATCCTGATGTGACCTTGTTCTTCCCTCCGTTCCCACGTCTGTCTTGCGCCCACCATCGATTTGCCCTCGCCAGCAATGCCGGAAGGATCAACCCTTCCTCAGGCCCTTCCGTAGCATATTTTTCATGCCCCAGATGACGTTGGCACAGCCCAGGGTGGCAGAGGGGTCTGGGAGGTGCCTTGCTTGGGGATTCCCGAGGACATGGGCAAGAAGTCCTGGGGGCACGTTGTTGCTGCCCGTGCAAGCAGGCGCCTTAGTGCCAAAGTTCAAGTGTAGAAGGGTGCTGTAGCCCAGCCGGGATTCGATCTTGGGGGGTGGGTGGCACACGTGGACACCTCGCCACAACTGGAAGCCAGGCCGGACGCGCCGCCCTGGGAAGAAAGGGCAGTCCGCCTCGCTGTTGGGCAGAAGCCACCCCGTCTACCCCGAGGTCTGCGTTTCAGCACTTGGACAGCGCACAGCGGCGGTGGGGAAGGGCGCGCGCCGGCGCTCGGGGTGGGGGACTTGGCGGCGCTCCTCGGGCGGAGGAAAGTTGCCGGACGGGACCTTCCTCCCGGCCGCAGCCACACTGGAGGCGGGGGCGGGAAGAGGCCAAACAGCGCGGGAGGGGGAGATGGCCGCCTATTGCACCCTCCCCTCGCCCTGCCCTTCAGTCTGCGCCTCCGTGTCCCCTGCTCAGGTGACAGACGAGCCTCCTGCTACCGTGCGCTAATTTTAGCCTCGCAGCGGGAACAGGCAGCGGTTGCATTACCCCCCCTCCAGGGAATTAAGGTTAAACGGTGTCATATGTTGCCTGGTGCCCCTTTCCCAGCTCCGCGTTCTGAATGGGCTACTCGGGTGATTCCACCCCCTCTCTCTTCCTGAGGTTTTTTCCTTTCCGAATCGTCGGTAAAGACTCAAATGTGTTGTTTCCTGTGGTGTGAACGTGCGGAAGGCGCGGCCTATGCGTGGGAAGAATGTCACGCAGGAGCCTTTGACAAGCCGGCTCTAGAGCTAGGCTTTGCCCCAGCGGAACGCTTCCCTTCCCTCTTCCAGCCAGCCCTGCCTTCTTCCCGGGCATTGCATTCCTCCAAACCTCCTTAGGCGACTTCCTTCGCAGCTCCCAGAATCCCCCAGCCAGTTTTCTTTTTTGAGGAGCTCCAGATGTTGCCTATCCCCCACGCCCAGATTTCTTGCTCATTTTGCAAATCTTAATCATCGCGACCGCTCTCCACTCCACACCAACCCCATAAAGTCCGTGTGCAGAGGAATCCCCCGGGCTGTGGTGACGGCTAATGCCGCTGAGCCACCCTTCCCTATTGACCCCATGGATGGTTCCCTCCCCCGACTCCCCTGCCACGTGGATTCTTCGGTGGGCTGCCTGCCCTTTGAGCTTGGGAGGATTCCCGCTCCTGGGCACATCTGGGGCAGACTTTTGCGGGGCGGGGCGGGGCGAGTGGAAATTGTTCCGCAAATAAAGAGCTGACTTTAATGCTGACCCTTCAGGGGAGCGGGAGTCAAAGACACAGAAAGGGAGGACGAGAGGAAAGGCAGGGGCTGCTTCCACCTGTCGGGATTAATTAACAAGTCAACGTGCAAATTAGTGAATGATCACCTGTAAGGCACGAAGTTCTGGTTTACGAACATTTGGGTAGTTAAGCTGACCCCCCCCCCGACCAATTAACTAATACTCTTTTTTTTTGGCGGGCAAAAGTGATCCCTCCTCTGGCTTTCAATTGCTTTGCTGCCTTTCTTTTAAGTACCAGAAGGTTTGGGGACAAGAGACAGGGATACAAGGAGGCCCTTCTGCTGCGCCCCTTCCTGACTTGCCCCATGCTTTTTTATCTCACCCATACGGTCTGAGAGAACCCACTTAAAACTACCAAATCGAGGGTGCGGGGGGGTACGCGTATCTTTTATCACTAAAGGCTTAAAAACAGATTCCGCAGCTGAAATTTACAATCTCGATTAGATGGCTGCACACTTGGCCATCCGGCTGGAAGTATGTTGGAGTCTGAAGCTACCGGGGTGTTTTTGTGTGTGTGTGTGTGCGCGCGCGCGTTTCTCAAGATCCACAGACAAAGGGCCACTAGCCCGCTCCCTCGTGAGCTCGCTCTTGCCTTTTGTCAATCACCTGGCTTCTGCGTGGGCTGGGGGAGGAGGAAGAAAGAGGCTGAACCACGAAGGGGGGGGGGCGGCGGCCCTCCGGCGTCATAGGCTGCGAAAAGACCACAGATCCTCGGAGCTACCCTGAGAGGGTCTGTCCCTGCCGCCCGTGAGGAGGAATGGGGCAGGCGGCGTCGGGGTGCCAAACTGTCCCGGCAGGTTCCTGGGCGCGGCGAGGTTGGAAGCGCTCCTGACCGAAGTTGCTGCTTCGAGGGAGCGCACACCGATTCCTAACCCGGGAAAGGGGCGGCATCACAAGGTTTCCTTGCGCTGCCCTGGCCTCGCCTCTCATCCCTTCCCGCTGCTGCCTCGGAGGAGCGCTGCGGATACGAACGGAGGACCAGGGAGGGCGGCATCGGGTCAGGCTCCCAGAGGACGCGGACCGGCAAGGGACTCTTCACCGTCCGGGCGTCCGTGACGTGGGCTGGGCAGAGCCTTCCCCGCCTCGAAGGGGGGCGGGCGGAAGCGAGCGCAAGCCGGAGCTTTTGTCGAGGGGGCAGCGGGCGCAGCAGGCAGCGGCAGTTGGCAGGAGCGGCCGTCGCCCGGCCGTCGAGGAGGTGCCTCCATGCGGCTCGGGTGCTGCTGCTGCTGCTGCCGGACGGCGCCGCGGAGCAGCACCACGAGCGGGACATGCCTGGGCGCCTCCCGGGCCTGGGGCGCCGCCACCGCCGGGACTCTTGCCCCACCGCGGCCTCCGCCTGCCTTGCCGGCGGGGACCGCCACCCTGCAAAGGGATGCGAACGCAGCTCCTCCTTCTGCTCGGCGCCCTGCTTAGGTGAGTCGGCACCGGAGACCCTCTCAGATGAGCCTGTGGGGAGGGAGAGAAGGAGGGAGGGGGGCAACCCTTGGGCGCAAAGGGCTGCTCTGCACGTGCTCAGAAGCAAGCTTCCTTTTGTCGAGGTGGTGCGTTCCCGGGATCCCTGAGAGCTCGGAGCCCGCGATCTCACCCTCGCCTCTTCCCTTGTCGGCAGCTTGCTTGCTCGCCTCTCGGGAGAGACGCACATTTCCCGTCCAGAGCCGTCCGGGACTCCGAAGGAAGGAGACCCTGGAGAGATCCCAACTAGAACCCCCACCCACCCTTTCCGCAATTAGCAGCGCTTCGCTCCCCGGACATCCTGTTTTCCTGCCTCTTATAGCGCAATCCGGGCGCTGGTGGAGAGGCGTGGAGGGATCCACGGCCAGCCGGCGTGTTCCGAGGGAGAGATTTAGCAGCTGCAGCGTTTCTCTTTCGGATGGAGGGACAGAGAGGGGCGAGGGGAGGGTTGTGACCATCTTGTGATTAGGCAGAGAGCCCTTCCCACTTTGCCTTTCTCTAGCCCTCCGCCCCCACCCACCCCTCACAAGCCCTTGGTTTAATGATTGTCAGGGAGTAAGCGGTCATCACCATTACTACCAAATCTGGCAGGCAGGGGGACAGTCCTGGGGAATCCAGCTCCAGAAAGGAAACCACGTTAGGACGGACAGAGGTTGGCTTGGTCTGGAATGGGGGTTCTTGGCGGGGGCGGGGTGACTCCCTAGGTCCAGAGGGCAGCCTCAGGAGGGCTGGTGGGAACAGGAGCACTTCACTCTTCACCCTCTTCCTTGGCTCCAGGTGTCACGCTTTGTCCCCATGGATGTGGGGCTGATGGTGGGGAGCAGAGGAGCCTGCTAAACGATTGGGTTCTGGGCCCTTGGTGCTGTGGAAGTCCGGGAGTCTGTGTTTGCAGCTGTGCCCAAGTTCTCCAACCCTTCCGAGGGTTGAAGAGACAGGCCTGGCAGGTGGTTTAGAAGGGAAATCGTCCCTTGGGTAACTATGGGTTGGGCCCAGCCATTGGCCAGCTCTGAAGAAAGGGACTCCCCTGGAACTGTGATGGTAGGGGAGTCCCAGCACTGTTGGGAAGTTTGGGGGTTCAGGGAGCCCTGTTGGGGATTCCTTGGTTTAGCCGAGTAGCTACAGCAGCATTTAAAACCTTATTCTCTGGAGCAATAAACCGGGCAAAGGCTGAGCCTAAAGAAAAGAGATTAATTAAGATTTATGTAGAAACTACATTGATTGGAAAGCCTGGTTCCTAATCTCATAAACTGGCCCTGTGCCAGGCTGGAAAAGGCAAGACTGGCTGACCAAAGAGGTAAGTGGTGAGTTATCCCCTTTCTCTGGGGCATCAGGGAAGCAGAGACAAGGACAAGCAGCAGCTGTTCTCCTTCCCACCCACCCCGAACCCCCATCAGGCCTTCTTTGAGAGAGGGAGGTCCTTGGGGAGGGGGTTTCCTGTGAAAACTCTCCAGAAGCACAACCAGAGAGGCAGGGGAGAAGATGCCATCCCAGTCGATGGCTACGGAAACAAGGTCCCTTGGCTGCTCTTTAGGGAAAGGAGCCAGGCAGGGAGGTTACAGCCAGGTGGGCTCTGTGTTGCTGTGAAGGCTGCCCTTCTGGTGCACCACTAGCCCTCCTTCCTTCCTTCCTTCCTTCCTTCCTTCCTTCCTTCCTTCCTTCCTTCCTTCCTTCCTTCCTCTCTCTCTGTGTTTGTACCTTGGGATGGCCTCCTGAGTCATGCTTCCAGCTGCCTTGCTCAGAAACTACCAAGAAATCAAAGAGCAAGGTTCCTTCTGGAAGTGGATTCCAGTGTGTTCAACGCCCATGTGAACATGTCACTGGAAGAAGAGCTACATTGGGAGAAAAGGGGGGCATCTGTGGACCCCCACATGACCGCTAGATTTCTGGAAGCATCTGCTGCCCCCCCCCAAACACAGGAGTACCAGAAAGAGCTGCAAGCAGGGCACGGGGGTGGGGGGGTGCAGGAGAGAACTTAGCAGAAAGGAGGCTTGTGCCCATTAAAGGTCTTTTAATTAATTGCTTCAGGGTCCTTAAAGAGGAGAGCAAGAGGGGTGGGCATACAAAGCCCCACATGACAGCAACATCACAGCTGACGTGTCAGAGCTCTGTCTTTTGCTCATTCCTGGGGATCTGACTGGGAAAGAACCATCCTCTGGGTCAGATTAACAAGGACCTCCAGGAGCAAAGGGGGGGGCAGGAAGGGCAGGGGTTGAGTCATCTCCCCTGGCTGTACTGTTCACAGCCTGGCCAGTCGTGGCCTCAACCCTTGTCCTCCCCAGGGAGCCTTCCCTTTGCTTCAGGGGGCTTTCCTTGCAGCACAGATTCCAGCGCTCTGGGCTGGCTTGCGGGTGTTGGATATCTCTCTCTCTCTCTCTCTCTTCTCTCTCTCTCTCTCTGTGTCTGCCTGATGGCCAAACTGGATTAAAGGAAAGCAGAAAAATGAGTTTCCATACCACATGCAAGTTTAAGAAGCCTGCTAGGAGCCAGCCAGCCTGCCTGCCTTTCTCTGCCCTCCCTCTTGGGGCTTGTTCAGCTAGCTTGTGTTCCCACAACCTGAGTTACCTTTATTCTAGTCACACACTGAGCTGGCATCTTCCCCCTCAGGACTGTTGGCAGAGGGAGGTGGGCGATGCTCAGGACAGGAAGGGAACAGCTGGTGTGGATGATGCAAAGCAAGGGGGAGTGGGAGAAAGAGCAGGGCCACAGGCTGGAGGGCTGGGAGAGCACCCCTCCCTTGGCAAGAAGCATGCAGGGTGGGGTGGGGGTGCATGGGGTGGGGGGTGAACGAGACACCAGGTTTCACCAGGTCAGCAGTTAGAGTAGAGAAAATGGCCATACTGCGGGAGGACGGGTTTAACCAGCCAGCTGACTTGTGGATGGGAAGGCCTCTCCTGCTCGGAAACAGTCCTCCTGCACTTTTGCTTCCTTGTGGCCTCTGCTGACTTGGGCTGGCCCTGACGTTTGCCCGAGTGAGGCACCTGCCTCAGGTAGCAGACTTTGAATGCTATGAATTGGCACCAGACATGTGTGATCCCTGTATTTTTGCTACCACAGACGAATACATTTCTGCTGTTGTTCCAGATCTCAAAACACATTCGGGTGCTGTGCACTTTTACTTGAGTATTGCGGTGGGAGAGGGGGAGTACTTTCTCCCCTGCCCCAGGTGGGACCATGTCCCGGGACAGCCCCTCCACTGAACTGGCTTGCACCCACTGCATTGGCCACACATCGCAGCTGGAGTGTCCTGTGGCAGCTTGTTGATGTTCACTGAAAAGTGAACCAGGACAGGAATTTACTGGATAAGTCCAGGATTTCCACAAAATGTGCTGGACTGGGCAGGCCCAGGGCGCCCCCAGAAGAAGGGAAGGCTCAGCCACTTCTAAGTACTTGCTACCTTGAAAACCCTGGAAAAAAAGGGGTCACCAGAAGTGAGAAGTGAGTTCACAGTACATGATTATGATTTTTAAAGGAGGCAGCTGTAGCACAAGAAAGAGGTGGTTACAACGGCTACTGTACCTTCCTACAACCATTTCGCCGGCTGCCAGTCCATCTTCGGGGCCAGTTCAATGTCCTGGTTAGGACCTATAAAGCCCTTTACCTGGCTCAGGTTCCGGCTGTTTGAAGTTCTGTATCTTCCCAAAGTGAGCCTTCCTGCTCTCTGAGATCTCCTTGGTCCCACTGCCATCGCAGGCCACTTTGGTGAGGACTCCAGGGAGGGCAGTTTCCGTGGCCGCTTCATATAAAATTCCCTCCCACACAAGGCAAGGTACCCACCTTTTTAAAGTCCTTCTGCCAGGAGGTCAAAACCACTTGTTAAACTAGTGATGATTTCAATATTGTTATAGGTTTAATAACATTTTTTTTACTAGTATTCTTATTTATTATGATTTTAAACATACAATGGTACACTTTTTAATCTGTTGTACACCGCTTTGAGTCCCTTCATTGGGAGAACATTAGATTAAAATGAAATGCAAGATGGGGAGCGAACAGGCTGGCCTTGGGATTGGGAGCCCTGGGCCTTCTGAGCTGGCGAAGGAGGTGCACAAAGGCCTGGAGGAAAGATCCAGAGAGCTTCATCTGTCTTAGCACACGCGCGGGGGGGGGCGGGGGAGAGGAAGAGGGAAGATGCCTGCCCGCCCAGGGATCTAGCCTGGACTGAGGGGAGGAGTGGGAGGAGGTGATGGAAGACGAGGGAGAGGGCTCCCTCCCAGCAGAGGTGGAGGTGACAGAAGGAAGCAGCCAAGATTTGTGCCGGGCTTCTGCAGGGCTGGTGTGTTCAGTCCCCTGCTCTGGGGAGGCAACTCCTGCCCTCAAGGCCTTCACAGCTAAAACAAGCCTTTCCAGGTGGGAGGCCAAGGCAATCTCAAACACAGGCTGTTGGAGCGGATCCCTGCCCCCCCCCGCCCCCTGTTGCAGCCTTTTCCCTGAGAGGAGCCCAGCGGAGCGACATCCCTTGAGGGCCACACTCTGTTTCCCTTGGCCTCCCCTGCATGCACACCCGTTCTGAGTGTGTCTCAGATGCCATGGCAGAGCCCCCAAGGCCAGCCTTTTTTGCCACTCCAGTCCAGCCGGCCCTTCTTGGAGGCACCCGCTGCCGCCCTGGGCCGTTCTGGGGTGACGCCATGCCCACTGCCCACAGTGTGCACATTCCCTTGGAGTGTGGAGGGGAAGTGGTCTGTCTGTCTGTCTGCTGCAGTGGGGGAAACAGGAGGGGTCCCACAACGGGTCCCTCTGGGGCTGAGCGAGGGGCACCTTCTTCCCGCAGTGTTTGTAGTCAACACACACACACACACACACACAGAGGCCCCATAGGCTATCCCCGAGTCTTGGCCCGGAAAGGACAAGGGAGGAATGCTGGAGCCTGGAAGTTGGAATGAGGTGAGGTGGACCCCATGGCAGGACCACCTTGCACTCCGGTCTTGTGAGTTCTCTCCGCTGCTACGCACGCGCACGGGAAGGTTTGCCACGCTAGCTTGTCAATCTAGGGGAGAAGGGTCCAGAAGGAGTCCCCTGGCTCCTGTGGCCAGATTAAGGGGCCCCCAATGTCCTCTCCCTATACTGTTTTTCACGCCTCTCTCCCAGATTGCCCAAACCCTCCAGACCGTCCCTGATGGGTGGCACCAGGCAACCCAGGTGAGGCTGACCTGTGCCTGTTGTGTGGGCAGCGGCCAGTTCATCCAAGTGCTTCTGAGTGTGTGTGTGTGTATGTCTGGGGAAAGGTTGCCTTCTGACCTCTGCTCTGTTTCCCTGATTCCACCCCCACCCACCCGCTCGTCCACCCACAGACTGGTGTCAGGGAAAGGAGAAGCAAGGTCCACCCCGCGCAGTCTGCCTCAGCCCATGTCCCCCTCTGATTTCCTTGACAAGCTTATGGGCCGGACGTCCGGGTACGATGCCCGCATCAGACCCAATTTCAAAGGTAAGCTGGGGGTGGGGTGGGGTGAGGGTGAGGGGGTTCCCCCCCCGAAGGTTCCAAGGCTGCCCCTGTGCTTCCAGTTTCTGCAAAAAGGAAGGCCTGGAGCCGAGCGGGAGGCACGTGGGCCCAGGCCTCCTCTCCTGGTTCTTTCCTGGCAAACCCACGATGCTGGACAGGGGAGGGACCCTTCCCTTGCAGGTGGCAGAGCAGGTCAAGAGGAACCTGGGGCTCACCGAAGACCCAGGCGAAATATTGTGAGCCTCCCAGCATGGAGGAAGAGCATGCGACTCGTGTGCAGAAGGATCCTCTTTCAGTTCCCATCCTATCCTGCCGGAAGCATCCCAGGAGGCGGGGTGGTGGTGGTGGTGGTGGTGGTGGAACTGCTGGGATGGGGGGCCAGGGCCAGAGAGCTTTCAGGGTGTCAGCTGGGGAAGAAGAGGAGCCGGGTTCTGCCCCTCGCCCTCCTTGCTGAGAGTTGCATCCCGGCACAGGTGGAAGGCACCAGATTGGTCCATGGCCTGGCTCTGTATTGGCCAGCTCCCTTTGCCCCTTGATGCGCTGCCCCAAGGAACTTGCAGTCTGGATTTAAGGAGGGCTGCTGCACTCCTCCACTCCTGACCTGCCACGCGGGGATTCCCACCTGCCCCAGCCAGCAGAACCAAAGATCTCTCGGTGGTGGTGGTGGTGCGCGTCCCTGGTCTGGATGAAGCCGTGGCCTGTCTTTCCACAAGCCAGTTCCTCTCCCCCCTCCCTCCCCCAACCTGCCACGTATTGATCAACTCTTGACATTTTCTCTTTCATTGGCTTGCAGGACCACCTGTCAACGTGACCTGCAACATCTTCATCAACAGCTTCGGTTCAGTCACAGAAACAACCATGGTAAGCCAGGGCAGCTCCTTCCCCTCCCCTCCCCTCCCCTCCGCCTTCTTGGTTCCTGAGCACACTGGTCGACACCCTCCCCTCTTGGGGGGCAGGAAGGGGCTTTCAGCAGCATAGCTGGCCACCTCGCACCCATGCCTCCCTGCCCTGACCTTGGAGGTCTACTAGAGAAGGAGAGTTTGTGGCCTCGGGGGTCAAAGGGAGCCAGAAGGGACACGAGGGTCAGTGGGCAGACGGAGAGCCACTTTTGTGAAATGTGAGCCCCAGAATATCCTAGCAGGAGGAAATTCCAGGAGTGATTTTTTCCAGGCTCTGGAGGAGAGCAGCCTTCTAGCTGGCCCCATTGCTGGCGGTCTTCCACCAGCTTCCTTCTCCGCTCCCCACAGCCCAGGGACTCTCCCTTCTTCTCACAGAGGAAATGGTCTCCTCCAGGGCAGGAGGTGGGAGGGACGGGGAGCCTGGCTCTAAAGAGGGAACTCCAGACCCTTCTGTTGGACATGTTTCGAAACCAGAAATGCCTACATGTCTCGAGAGCTGGTCTTCTTTCCTGGCCGGGTTGGCAGCAGAGCATTTCCCCCCCCCCACCCCCGCTCATGCCTTGGCTAGGCTGCCACCCATGTGGAGAGGTTTTACATACGTGGGCGCATCCTCTTGCTTCTCCCTTGACGAGGGACCCCTCCCCTTTCCTTTACCCCTCCAGGATTACCGCGTCAACGTCTTCCTGCGGCAGCAGTGGAATGATCCGCGCCTGGCCTACAGGGAGTACCCTGACGACTCCCTGGATCTGGACCCCTCCATGCTGGACTCCATCTGGAAGCCAGATCTGTTCTTTGCCAATGAGAAGGGGGCCAATTTCCATGAGGTCACCACAGACAACAAGCTCCTGCGCATCTTCAAGAATGGAAACGTGCTCTACAGCATCAGGTGGGGCTGCCGGGCCTTGGGGGGGGTGAGGGCAGAGGCGGGCGGGTCCATTTTACCTCTTGGAAGCAAGGTGAGGTTTCACCTGGGCATCCAGGGCCCTGACCCGCTCCTGCCTCTTCCTCGCTCCCAGGCTGACACTAATCCTCTCCTGTCCCATGGACCTCAAGAACTTCCCAATGGACATCCAGACATGCACGATGCAGCTGGAGAGCTGTGAGTAGGATGGGATCCAGGCATTCCTTCAGAGCCTCCATGTAGTTCTAGCTGTGGCAGAGGAAAGCCAGAGTCTGCGGGAGGAGTGACAGCAGAGAGTGACGGAGGGCGGGGGCTGGCCAAGGACAGAGAGTCAGCAGAGTCTGATGGGTTTATCTAAGTGGATGGACTGGAAGGGTCAGGAGAGTGAGGAGGTGGGAGGAGATGGCCCTGAGATGGTCCGGTAGGGAAGAGGGCAGCGTCACCCAGGTTTTATTTTCTGAATAGCCTTGGCAATGGTGGGGAGCCTGCAGGGAGGGAAAGAGAGTGGGTGAGAACTGTATGGGGAGGGGGAACAGACAAGCAGGTATCGTTATTTGAGGGACACTAAGGGTGCTTGTCAGCACCTACGAGTCCTGCCAAATGCTGGAAGACTCTTCCCTGCAGGGCTGGCCTGCCCTCATGCCCTGCTCTCCTTGTCTTTGCAGTTGGCTACACCATGCACGACTTGATCTTTGAGTGGGTGAAGGGGGAGGAAGCTGTGCAAGTGTCCGAAGGGTTGACCCTCCCTCAGTTCATTCTGCGGGATGAGAAGGACCTGGGCCACTGCACCAAGTCTTACAATACAGGTAAATCACCTCTGCGGAGTTCAGGGCACCTCTCCTCCATCGTCCATGCAGTGGGGACACCTCCTGCCCAGCCCTGCTTTCCTTGGGACACATGGCACCAATGGCCAAAAAAGGTGGGGCTCTCTTTTTGCACCAGAGTAAAACAAAATCCAGAATCTACAGGTGGGAAAGACCTGTCTGAGAATGAAACTGCAAATTCACAACATATGCAAGTTTTCGAGTTCCCTTTTTACCATTTAGCCTGATGAAGAGCTTGGGAGAACCTGGGAGCATGTATAATTTCTGAACTTGTTATTGATCCTAATCAAGATATGCTGGCCTTCCAGTTTCTTTCTTTCCTTCTTTCCTTCTTTCCTTCTTTCCTTCTTTCCTTCTTTCTTTCTTTCTTTCTTTCCTTCCTTCTTTCTTTCCTTCCTTCCTTCCTTCCTTCCTTCCTTCCTTCCTTCCCTCCTTCCTTCCTTCCTTCCTTCCTTCCTTCCTTCCTTCCTTCATTCCTTCATTCCTTTTATATTCTGCATTTCATTTGGGGTGGGTGGGTGAGGAACATCTTGCATCAAGCCAGAGGATTGTGTCCTGCAAGCCAACAAATTTGGGGAGGAGTCTGTGTATCTGGCACCAGTTGTTGGAACCTGAGCTTTGAGCCATCTATCTATCTATCTATCTATCTATCTATCTATCTATCTATCTATCTATCTATCTATCTATCTATCTATCTATCTATCTATCTATCTATCTATCTATCTATCTATCTATCTATCTATCTATCTATCTGTCTGTCTGTCTGTCTGTCTGTCTCTCTGTCTCTCTGTCTCTCTGTCTGTCAGACAGACAGACAGACAGACAGACAGACAGACAGACAGACTGCCAGCATTAAGTCCTCTTTCTCTGACTAACTGGGCTTTGGCCTCTCTGTGCTATTTCTCCACTTGCGTTTTTCTCCCAGGGAAGTTCACCTGCATCGAGGTGAAGTTCCACCTGGAGCGGCAGATGGGCTACTACCTGATCCAGATGTACATCCCCAGCTTGCTGATCGTCATCCTCTCCTGGGTCTCCTTTTGGATCAACATGGATGCTGCCCCTGCCCGGGTGGGACTAGGCATTACCACAGTGCTGACGATGACCACCCAGAGTGCTGGCTCTCGGGCATCCTTGCCAAAGGTCAGTGCCAGAGGGGCACAAGGGGCTGAAGTGGCACGGAGGGCCTGAGGCTCATCTCCAGTGGCTGCTGGCGCCTCTTTCCAGGGGCGTCTCACACTCCCAACACCCAGGCTCCCCAGTGGGATGGTGTTCTGCCCCCAGGGCAGCACTTCCACCCCCCACCCCACCCCCGTTTAGCTCTTTTGACCCTGGAGTCCTGTCCTCCTCTTTGATCCTGTCAGGGAATACAAAGGGAGGGTGTAGAATGTAGAGGGAATGCATAGTTGACCAACAACCCTGCCTGCTCTCTTAGGAGGCAGGCGGGAATCTGCCTGGGATCTGTCCTGGGACCCTCTCCTTCCCAAGCAGTGGCCATGGTGCCTTTTTGCACCTGAGGAAACCAGCAGCGAAAGGACACAAGAGATGCAAAGGTCTACATGCCTCGCCCCAGTTAGATCAAGACCTCTCAATGCTCCACCCCTTTTCTTTCTCATCAAGGACCCTCCTGCTCTTGCGACCAAAGCCTTGTGTCAATAGTGAGCAATGGTGTGACCCCGAGAACTGGTGACTGGGCACAAGGACAGCCGGAGTCTGGAGGGCACCATGGGCCAGGTGTGCTGCCTGCCTTGCCCCGCCACCACATGACATGAGTTCATAAGAGATCCTTCCTAGGAGGTGGTCTGAGGGTTTTGCAAAGGGAAGCTGCATCCTGCAGGTTCTTCCCTAGAAAAAAGGACAGCAGACCGGAAATGCCGCGGCAGGAGTGCCCTCCGGTCTACAGGATGCCTCTCCCTCATTGTTGGCAGGTCTCGTACGTCAAAGCCATTGACATCTGGATGGCCGTCTGCCTCCTCTTTGTTTTTGCCGCCCTGCTGGAGTACGCAGCCGTCAACTTTGTCTCGCGCCAGCACAAGGAGTTCATGCGCCTTCGCCGGAGACAAAGGCGGCAAAGGATGGTGAGTAAATAAAGATCAGCTCTTCCTCCTTGCTCCAGGCTGCCCTCTTGCAGGGAGTGGGTGGGTGGGGGTCCAGGCAGAACAGCTGTGGCCACGGATGGGAGAGGAATGGGGAAGAGTGTTTGTTGTGCTGGTGGCAAGAGAGGAGTCGCACTGCACAAAACAGAGAGAGTGAAACACAACCTCCAGACGTAGAGCTGGAGGCCAGCTCTCAGCCCACCTGGCCATGGGCTCCGCTGGCTGGAGCCAGATGAAGTTGCAGTCCCATCTCTGGAGGGCTAAAGAGCAGGGGGTGGTTTGCACGGCCTCTTTCTAGCAAAGAGAAAACCACATTTGTGGCATTTTGCAATGACCACGCTTTGCTACAGAAAGCTTTTACAGGCAGTGGTTCACATCTTCAGATGCCCCCAGATGCGGGCTGTAGACCCTCCCCTCCCAAAAAAGGGGCCAATGATGCCAAATAAAGTTGTGAAGTCTTTAAGCTGCCACAAGACTCTCTGTTGTTTCTTTCATAGCTTCCAAAGCATGCTGTCCCTTTAGAGAACTCTTTTAAGGTCACAAGATCACTCCTCCTGTCACTCCCCTGCTTTGTCTGCTGGTGAGGGCAGAAGGGGCTCGGGCGTGTCTTGGGGCAGTTTGGAGAGGTGTTTTCATGGCAGATTTAAAAATATGGAGCTTCTAAAGAGAAACCTGAAGTCTTGTGGTGCCTTTTAAGACTAACCACTTTTTATTTTCCATGAGCTTTTGGGTGTCTAAGCACACTGCTTTAGGGGGCTTCTCAAGTTATTCTAAATACCCCACATCACCTGATGCCCTGGCATTTTGTTTTTGTACAATTAACCCCTCCTGTGCATCTCTGTTGTGAAAGGAAGCTTTCAGTCAGGGAAACTGAACAAAACTCCTGCAGAGACCCTGAAAGGAGCACCATGGCCTGGCCCTCAGCCTGAGAGCAGCTCTTGTCTCTTTGGCTGGTCTGACTGCTGGATGGTACCTCACCTGTTGAGCAGAAGAGGGTTGCAGACCTCCCCGGGAGGCTCGGCAGCTTTGGCCAGAGGGAATGTGCACACTCCACTTGGCTCGGAAGCAAAGCCCCCCTGCCCCGATTACACAAAGGCCAGGCTTCGTGGATATCCCATCCACTACATGGCCCAGCCGGGGACCTCAGAGAAGCAGCCCAAAGGACCGCAGCACCCATGTACCCTGGCCATCTTGAGCAGCAGAGCAGAGCCCACACAGAGACCCCCTTGAGAGGCAGGGGCTGCGGGGAGGGATGGGGGATCCAGCTGGCCGAGGTCGTCTCCCCAGGATGGCTGCTCCCTTGGTGGCCTCCAGCCTCCATCACAATTACTGGGCTGCCCTCTGGTGAGCACTGGGGCAACTGCAGGACCCTCAAAACAAACTGGATTCCTGTGGAAGATCAAAGGCGATGTGTTTTACCTAGTACAAGCTTTTGCAGGTGGCACAGGGCAAACTTGACATCTGTAAGCTAACACAAAGAGAGAGGAAGGAAGGAAGGAA